AAACCCTTTCCTCTCCAAGTTGCTTTTGGTCATGGTTTTATCATGGCAATAGAAATTGGAGTAGGCAGGTCCTCATGCTTATACAGCAAGCATGTTATCCTTTCAACTATCTGCATCACCTTTAGTCACAAATTTTGATAATTTGTCATGTCTGTGTCAACTCTTTAAGATTTTAAACTCTGAATTCCCTGGCCAGCTTTGTAGCTCTTGCTAAAATGGTTCGGTCTATTGAGGCTGTGGGCTTTTGAGCTATTAAAAATTTGTCTCTCTCATTTTCTTCACTTGTTCAGTTTGCAGGTCATTCTGTTTTTTGTTTGTTTTTTTGAGACAGGGTTTCTTTGTGTAGTCCTGGCTGTCCTGGAACTGGCTCTGTCGACCAAGCTGGTCTCAAACCCATAGAAAAGAGAAGGTATTGGCTCCTCTGGAGGTGGGGTTAGAGACAGTTGTGAGCAGCCTCATGCAGGTACTGGGAATTGAACTTGGGTCCTCTGCAAGAGAAATGCATTCTTTTTGTTTGTTTGTTTTCCAAGACAGGGTTTCTCTGTAGCTTTGGAGCCTGTCCTGGAACTAGATCTTGTAGACCAGGCTGGTCTTGAACTCACAAAGATCCGCCTGCCTCTGCCTCCCAAGTGCTGTGATTGAAAGTGTGCACCACCACTGCCCGGCTGAGAAATGCATTCTTAACTGAGCCATTTCTCAGACCTTGTGCTCTGAACTTTTATTCACAGCTTTTAGGTACACTATAAATCATTCTCTGTACAGGACGAAGCTCATTTCTAAGATTCTATCTCATGTTTAAAATTATACAAAAGTCAAAATTCCTTATTTCCCCAAATCAGTTTCCTCTTGGCATCTCTAAAATAGTCACATTGCAAATTAAAAGCATGGGCTCTGAAATCAAGGAAGGTGATGATGGACACTATAAAATAATCCCACACTAGCTCAGAATTGAGTATAATAAAGGGCTATTTATTTAGAGGTAGACTCACAGATCATAGTCCTCTGTACGAATGGGGAACAGAAACCGAATCCAGAAGCCAGGAGAGAGAGAGTGTGCTTTACATCTGCATTTGTAGTATAAGAGGCCACACCTAAGTGGGCTGGTATCTTAAGGCTTCTGGCTGAAGGAGTTCCCACAGCAGGAACGTATGGATTTAGATCCTGGTCCTATTGAACAATGGTTATATAATCTAGGAAATGAGCTGGGTTTTATTTTCAGCTTGTTCTGAGTGCTGACAGTACGTGTGGAGGCTCTCTCATAAGGAGCAGCACTCAATAGATGGGGAATGGTCGTCCTTGTCTTTCCTGACTGGCTCCAGAGAGCTAGGCAAGTGCCAATACTATTTTGGAGATTTTTATTGTTAAAAATGAAAAAATTAAAAAAATATCTTATGCATATGAATTTATTGCCTATGTGTTTACATACCATGTGTCCCTGGTTTCTGCAGACGTCAGAAGAGGGCTTCAAAGTCCCTGGAACTGGAGTTACAGATGGTTGTGAAGCCCCATGGATTCACATAGGGGCTGGGAATAGAACCTTCGTCCTCTACAAGAGTAATAAATGCTCTCAACTACTAAGTCATCGCTCTAGTCCTTTGAAGAGTCTTTAAAATTACCAGGGTCACCATCCTAGACTAAGTCAGCCCTCTGTTGTGTAACAACAGAGATTGGAACATCCATCCTGCAAGAAAGCTCCTTCAGCAGGAAGGTAAACTCAAAACCTGCCGTGTGCTCCAGGTTTAGTCTGGTGAGCTGTCACAGGCGCTGGGCTGGGCTTTGGTGATGCAGCTGTATTGAGCCATTTCTGCTCCTGTAAGTAACCCGTATTCCTGTAAGTAATCCCAATAAAACCCGTTGGTTCACCAAGGTGGAGTTTGGTGGTGTCTGTACCTCGGCTCCCAGTCTGGGGTATAGATGTGTGTGCGTCTCCCCAGGAGAAGTCTTGTCACGCAACATCCTTTTTATCACTGGCAGATTTGCTAGTAACCACTGGTACTGACTTCAAGCCATTCCACACTGGTCTCTTTTTAACAATTCTAAAACACAACTCCAAATTTTGAGTGGCTGATTATGATCACATGATAAAAACTCATGTTTGCTTGTTTACATAATTTGGTCCCAGCCTGCCTTTCAGCTCTAGCTTACACTATTTCCAGGAAACGTTTTTCTTGTATCAGTGCTTGGCTGTTCTATCTTCCTTTATGCTAATTCACTAGGCAATATATTCTCTCCTTCTGGACTGTCCTCAAACTATTCAAGGTTTTTCAAGGGATCTCTTCATTGGAAAATGATGCCTACCCCTTCCAGATGCCTCACTTCGTATGGCACTTATGTGAAATTCACCTGTTTTAATTTTAATCAAATACAAGTCTACAATTTACTGCTAGATAACAAGTTTCCTATTAGTTTAATTTCATACTCAAACTAATATTGAGTTAATCAGCAAAACATTAAAAATACTGTATTTCAAGGTAATGGTGTCACCCAGCAGAGTGCCTAACTTGAACAAGGCCCAGGTTTGGTTCCCAGTTCTGAAAATCACCCTTCTCCCCAAATATCTCTATTAAAGGAAACGCAGTATCAAATAAAAAGATTACAAACCTGCAGTGCACCAAGGAACAACATTCTACATTGAACTGGCCTTCTAGTGCTTTGGGGTATTCTTGCCTGTTGGTAATTTTAAAATAAGCGTAGTATTCTCAAAAGAGAAAATGTTTCATGTTTGGTTGATATGAAAGTAACATCTCTATCAGCCTCCATTCTGAAATTAAGTTATTAAACAGTCCTTCCCGTCAGTCTGTTTCAAAGCTCATAAACTAAGAGAGGTGGCACTTGATACACAAGCGGCACCCAGATAAGGATGTAGCTTTGTGACTGAGCACTCGCCTAGCATGTCACGTCCAACCTTCAGTGCCACTGAAGGGTTCAGTGCCGTGGTGGCACACGGCTTTAACCAGAGCACTTGGGAAGCTGTGGCAGTATTGGGCTACCTAGTGTACCTAGTGAGACTTTGTCTGAAAAACAGCAAATGGTACACTATAAATATTCCTCCCATCTACACAAAACAGCCTATAGTTCCAAGTCAGTTTATAAAGACTTACCTCCTTTTGCTCAGTAAACTGTAACCTGTGTACTCACTACACAGAGATTTCTTCTATGCTTGGGATTCCCCCTGCAGAGGCAGCTCTTCTAGAGAATCTGATTCTAGACAATCAGTTTCCATATTTTGATTGTCAACCATGGATAAGTCTTTACCAAGATTGGTTTTATTTAAAATGAACTTGGAACAGATTAGTTCTTCTAAGTATTTTCCTATGATTTAAAAATTTTATTATGACTTTACTATTTTGTTACATGGCACAGGGACTTAATTGTAAAATACACATAAATTTGTCATGTTAACCATTTAAAAAGTATACAATTTGATAACTTAGTACATTTATAACCTTGTTCAAACATTTGGTGCTAGAACATTTTCATTCACCCAAGATGAAATTCCACCACTATTAGGCAGTCACCTACCTTCCCTTATCCCTAGAATTCCCAGAAACTTCTAATTAGCTTAGTCTCTACAAACGTACCTATTTTATTAAAGCAGAATCATATACTCATAGTCTTCTGTCTCTGGCTTACTTAATTTAGCATTTTTCTTTGGGGTGGGGGTGTTTTAAGACAGGATTTCTCTGTACGTAGCCCTGGCTATCCTGTAACTGGCTCTGTAGACCAGGCTAGCCTCAAACTCAAAGAGATTTGCCTGCCTTCGTCTCCCTTAGTGTTGGGATTAAAGGAAAGGAGTACCACCACCCAGCTCTCTTAGAATCTGCAATGTTTACCGCCTATCAGTTCTGCCTCGGCCTCTCAACCATCAGGGATTACAGGTATCATCTACAATACTGTCTTCATTCCTTCTAGTGATTGAAAAATTGCTTTTCCAAAAACTTTGTATGTGATAGACTGGATGAACAATGAACTAAAAACAACCCTGCTCCTGCTCTTTGGGACGTTTGTTGTTTTTTGTAAGCAAGGCTATGTCTAAATAGTGATTCTCCAACACTATGTACAAAGCTACCCAGGGCAGAAAGACCACAGATTAATTTAAACAAGCACTTAGGTGACATTGATGGGAAGAGAGCTTCCCACAATGCTTCAGCAATTCCTTTTCTCAGTTGAAAGCAACATAGGCAGAGGGTACTAAAGTGAAAGAGCCCATTTGTCCTAATTCTGTCCATCTTCCAAAAGGAAAAATCCTAAAACTTGTATCTTCTACCCAAGGCAGAAACTTGGATGTCAATCGAACAGTACTTACTTACTAGGTCAAGACAGTCTTTCCATTTCTTCTTTTCACTAGGGAGTCTCAGCAAGAAGCATCGTGCACTACTGGGGTAGACCCTCGCTCAACCATCATTCCTAAGAATTCCACTACAAATGGTGGCAGGAGTGTTTCATTTTAGCAACTTTGGGGTTTAAAAAACTGTAGCCAATTAATTTTACTTTTGGCAACTGCTTTTTAAAAGAGGCATGTTTAAATATGAAACTAGCTGCCAGTGTGACTGCGTCCCTTTCCTAAGATCGATGGCTATTTACTATGGACACAGAACAACTTAATGTGGGGCTTTTGGAAAAAACAAAGTCACATTCTCTCCCAGTAACTGCTTCCAAGTTCTAGAAACTGACATGATTTCTTTTCAGATCCAGCAATGTAGGGTGGTAGGTGATTCTGTTTCTATTTGTTCTACTTCACGGTAACCTTTAAAAACACAAAATTATTTAGATGTGGTATTAATCATGTTTCAAAGAAGCTCAAAGAACTAAAATATTTCTCCTTTACATTAAGAAATAAAATCCCCATACAGCACAATCTGCAGAGCTCTAAGAGAATTCCCATAGAAATCACATGCAGTGCCTTCCACACCTTCCTCTGACTTGGACAACCAACTGCCCCAATGTGTCATTTTCTCTAGGAGGACCCCACATTAGGTAAGTACAAACCACAGCAGAAATTAAAGTTTTCGTCTTTAATGAAATGACTTTGGAAACAGGGTACATTTCCATGACGCCAGCACTACAGCTTTTGGGGTCACAGTAAGATACACAGAATTACATCCGTAATTACTATGAATGCCAACATTTCAGGCAGTAATTTCTGTTACATGGCAAACAAGATCAAGAAAGCAACCATCAAACAAAAGAGTCCCATAGCTTCAGACAAGGCAAATCCCAGGATAGCATATGAGAACAGCTGCTGCTTCAGTGAAGGATTTCTAAAAGACACAATGCAACACAGACGACGGTTACACATTTAGCAAATGGTCAAGGATCAGATAACTAGTGTGAGGATCTTTGCAACCTAGAAAGTTCTATGGAGGCGCTATCTCCCTACACTACCTTGCTTCTGTCTCTCAAACTGTTTTTTTTAAAACCCACTCCCAATCATGTGGCACAAAGTTAGGGAGCTCTCTTCATATGCATATATAAATGCTTAGTTTACACCCACTTTGAGGGGTCCTGATACTCTTGAGGCTGGTCTCAAACTTATGATCCCCTTGTCTCTCCTGGCTGGCTGGGGTTAGAGCGTGTGCCCTTTCAGTGACTAATGCACACAGCTCACAAAATACAATGGAAGACACACAACAGACACTACAAAGGAGCTACTATTACTTCACGACTTTCCTATGTAGAGTGACAGCTTCCCACTGTCTAACTTCCTCTGGGACAGAAGTGATTACCTGGCATAACCAATGATAAGGCTGCCAAAGACTGTTCCAATACCAGCACCAGAACCCGCAACTCCTACTGTTGCAGCACCTGCACCAATGAATTTGGCAGCAGTATCAATGTCTCTGCTGATTACACTGGTCTGAAACTCCCTTCGGATCAGCTGACACGCACCATTCTGGGCCCCATTAAATACCGTAGAGCCCTGGGAACGAGAAATAAGGCAAAGGTCAATTCATTAATCACATTTATTTTAACGACTATACTGCCAAAACAGTGACGTCTTTATAGTGTAGCTTGGTATGAACAAATAACTGCATGGCACAATGAAAAAGAAAACCAAGAACTTGGACTAATTCTTACCTTGTATAAGATAATTAACAATCTATACCTATACCTTCTAGAGTTGTTAAAAATTATGACATAGAATATGTGAATGTTTTTCAACACAGCAGGCTCTTTTTGATAGTCATGACTACTTTAATCTTAAATACAAATAACTCAAAACTACCAGCTTAAATATAAATACAGACCAAAACACTTATTTGCTAATTCAGGAGGCTGTTTTAGCCAGCAGAGTTCCTCTCAGAGGCTAATTCTACACACTGTTGATTAAAGTGGAAAGAAACTACCTTGGAGCCATTCACCCTTCACTATAACAACACTGAAAACGTATATGGCAGTGTTTCCTCATCTTTATTATCACTACTTACCTCTCCAGTCCTAGCCTCCGGTCGAGATAACACTGCTGCAGAAATTGGTCTATATGCAACTCTGGATCCAGCTCGGATCTATCAATGGAAGGAAAGGAAAAATTTCAAGTATAAAGAATATAGATGGGTCTTCTCGTAACCATAAATTCTAAAGGAGAAAGCTGAAGAGAAAAGGAGCAGAGATTTACTTCTCTGTACAATGATCCTTTTGAACCCAACACTACTTCATGCTAAGGAATTGTAAACCGTGCTATGTAACCGATTTGTGAACTAAAATCCTAAGAACAATTAGTTACAAAGTGACTGTGCGCTGCTGTGGAAGTTTCAGTAAGTGTAATGCTGTAATTCAATAAGCCCATGCGGGCCAGCAACATATTAGAGGGGTGTCACTATGAATGCTGTCATTTACAACAGTCCAGCAGTATTTACAGCTCCCAGTATCTCCAAAGTATTCCTAAATGCCCACTAATCACAGCTTTACTGCACAGTTGAAGTAGTTCGATGGCAGCTTAAGAACTGGTGAAACGCTGCCACTATAAGGACGTCTTGCCTTCTGGCTTCTCTGCCCTTGAGTGTCCACGACACTAAGGTCACAGAAAATCCCTTCAGAGCCCAGACCTGATTCTCTAGGACAAACCCATTGGGTTTAGACTTCCAGTCTCTAAAAAGCAAGCTTCGGGGCTCCCCTACCACCTTTCTCCGCCCACATAGGGAAGCAAAGGCCCTCCCTCTGCAGCGGCAGAGTTTGACCTACAGACACGCATGGGAAGGAAGCGCTGCAGAGGCAGCTAGGCCTCAGCGGCACCCTCCCAACTCCCAGCACCCCGACCTTCGCGTCGACCCCAACTCCACTGGGACCGGGGAGTGGGGGAGGGGCGCGCTCCAGGAGCAAGGAGGCTGTGACCTACGCCGAGTGGAGCCTGACAGGCCTCGGGGGACGCAGGGCGAGGGGACGGTCTGCCCGGCAGGGTGGGGAAGGAAGGGGAAAGGAGGAAAGGAGAAGAGAGGGAGGGTGGGGAGGGCACCGGGGCAAGGGTGAAGGAGAGCCGGTCCCTCAGCGGGTACGCTGGGCCGAGGCCTGGGCTACGCACCAGAGCGGGGGTGCGGACGAGCTTGGCGCAGGCGAACATCTTTCTTCCCGGCGGCGCGGCGTGGATGTGGGTGACAGGCGACGTGGGCTCCTCTCCCGCTCCCTCTCTGCGGAGGGAAAAAAAGGCTTAAGGTCAAGTGTCCCCCAGGGGCCTGCCCTTCCCACCCCGGGCCCCCAGGGCCCCCGCGCAGGCCGACGACGTGGCCGCGTGCCCAGGAGGTGCAAGCCCGGTGG